AATTCTCAAGAAAGTAAAGATAATTCTCAAGAAAGTAAAGATAATTCTCAAGAAAGTAAAGATAATTCTCAAGAAAGCAAAGATAACTTTCAAGAAAATAAAGATAATTTTCAAGAAAATAAAGATAATTCTCAAGAAAATCAAGAACAAGTTTATTCTGCAACCAAGAAGTTTTTTATTAATTTTAATGAAATAAAAAACAATCTTCAACAAGGTAGACAAATCCGTGAATGGATTAAAAATAATAACATCAATACATTATTTATCACGGGACCCAAAGCGAGTAACAGTAATCATGTTGATGTTGATGACATGACATATAAATTTTGTTTATATTTATTCAATGATGTTTAATTTATGTATTTTTTGCTCTTTAATTCAATTTATATCTTAGTATCGTGGATTTATATCAGCTAAATTATTTATATTTATACTGTATCAAATATTTAAATTTTTTGTATATTATTATAAAATATTGGAAAATAAACGCAAGTTTAAAAATAAACTCTAGTTTTATTAAAACACATTATAAACTTTTAACTCATGTGTTGCATAATTTATCAATAATTGAATAAAGCGATATAATTCTTTGAATTATGCCACATTAGATTTGACTTATAAATGTTTTATTGAGTTTAATTATGCTACGTACTTACAACTAGAACTAAATTTTAAATATCTGGCATTAAAATGGCCGATACGTTATTCTTGTATATTGACACTCGATTAATGATTTTTTATCGCCAGATGCAATAGTTTGCATTTTAAGTTTGGGATTACATTGATATCAATTTAGACGTGCGTATGTACATACGCACGTACATGATATAGATCCAATAAGGCTAAATCGTTGATTGTCGTTATTATACAATCAAACTCGATATAGAAAAGATTAATCATATGAAAGTTGATTTTGGTCACGCAAGAAAAAGCCCCCGATGACAATCATTTGCGCGTGCACTTGTGAATTTGACATATTCCATATTTAGGGAACTAAAGAATCAGGTGAGAACATAACAAAATATAACTGGCAAACTTTAAAGTATACTTAAAGTAGACATATTTTTTCTTCTAGGTATTTTTTATCGCTTTTAATTTCAATGTTAGGTATTTGTAAAAAATGCGAAAAGACCGAATATTCGGATATTGCTTGGTGTAAATCATGTGACCCCGTAAATTCCGTTCGTACTGGAAATGATGAAATCGACAAGTTTTTACAGCGTGCTTTACTCTCGGCGAAAAGTTACGGAAAAGTGGTAGAATGGATTCAGTTTAACAGATTGGAAGATATAAAGTTTATTGGACAAGGTGGATTCAGTAATATATTTTCAGCTACATGGATAGATGGGGAAAGAAAGGATATTGAAGAGGAAGGAGAGATAAGGGGAAAAAAATTAAAAGTTGCGCTTAAACTTTTGAACAATTCTGAAAATATCACGAAAGCTTTTTTAAACGAGGTAACATATCATTTGCTTATTAATTTCAAGTTACTTAAATGTATTGAATTTTATACGTATACAGTATAATTGCATACATGACCATGGTTAATTTAGATCGAATTTCATCATAAATTTTCATCCATTAATTTATATGGTTTGACCCAAGATCCGGAAACAAAGAACTATATGATGGTTTTAAAATTTGCAACCAATGGTAATCTTCAAGAATACCTTAGATCAAATTTTGAAGAACTTGACTGGAAAAAAAAATTATTCTTATTACAAAGGATATCTGATGAATTAGTTTTAATTCATAAAGAGGGAAATGTACACCGAGATTTTCATGATGGAAACATTTTAATACATAATGAATATTTCCCCTGTATTTCGGATTTAGGATTGGCAGGTCCTGCTAATCAAGAAACCGGAGGAAAGGATATCTATGGTGTATTGCCTTATGTTGCTCCAGAAGTTCTATATGGAGAAAAATATACAACAGCTGCTGATATTTATAGTTTTGGGATTATTATGACTGAAATTTCATCAGGAAAACCAGCTCACGGAAATGTTCCACATACTACTTCACTTGCTGTAAAAATATCTAAAGGTATGCGTCCTGAATTTGGAATAGGAACACCAAAAATTTATATTGATTTGGGAAGACGATGTATGGATGCAGACTCTTCCAAAAGACCGACAGCCATCAAATGTTATGAATTGATAAATTATTGGGGTGATACATTGAGACATGATGGTAGTAAGATTGAAAAAGATATTTCAATAAGAAATGAATTTATAGCTGCAGATAAAATAGCAAGAAATGAAATTATAGCTGCAAATAAAATAGTTTCAAATCCATCAAGTTCACAAATACATCCGAATGCCATATACACCAGTCGACTTCTTAGCAAAAAGCTTGACCTGGAAAACCTTCCAGAACCGAAAAATTCAACCGGTAAATTTTTTCTGAATGATTTTTAAGAAACTACAGTAATTGTTTTTCATGTTTCATCTTATATTCTGTATTTTGTTCTAAATTTAACTGCAACGCCAACAGAATTTTCTATTTCAGATGAAGATTCACATAGTAAGCTTTGAAATTGGTATCATGATTAATGTTTTATTTTACAATGAAATATAACATATTTCTTTAATTTATAGATGACTGACGAATTAATATTGAAGCGAGGTTATCTGTAGTTTAAATTTATCATATTTCGTTTACTTACATATGTTATAGTAAGATGAATGTAGTTGTAATTTTAATCACTTTAACGAAGCAAAAAATAGTATAAGTACGAATTAATGCAAATAAAAAAATAATGATATATGAAGGTAATATAACTTATTTAATAATCAAATAGTTTTAAATTTGCTTATACGTTACGTATTTTCGCATCTATTATCAATTCGCTTTTCAAAGGAGGGTTTTTTTTTTTTGAAAGATCCTTACTTTAATCTTTCTGTTTTTCTTCATTTTATTCATTGTTACGTTAGAATTTTTATGCTAAATTGTAAATAATGAATGTTTTTTTACAATAAAAACTTTTTTAGTTATTAACATAGGTATTAATGTGTGTTATTGCAAACTTAACGAATGTAAAAAAGGTTGAACAATTTATTTTCGGAATTCATTTATTATTAAGATAATACGCGAGAATAACTGGAAGGTTTATTATAAATACATTTTAAGAAAATAGAATGAAGCACTTATATTTATTCAAAAGTTTTCTCGTTAGGTTTGTGTTTTGGTGTCGTTTATTGATTTACGTCATTTTGATAAGTTATAAACGCGTATTATCTAATGACAGGAATAAAAAAAAATAGTCGTTTGTAATATAGCAAGCAAAATGTATTAACTTTGAAAATAATGAATTGCTTCTTCTAAATGAACACGAATTGATGCTGCAACTGATATTTTTACAATGATAACAGTTACGACTGCAATTAGATTAGAACTAACGTACATTTTTAACTCCAGCCGTAACTTGGGACTTTTATTAGAGATCGGTTTGTTAATAGTTCATGTTCATTATTTAGTAAATAACTATTCTTTTATTAGTACAAATACCAGTCTTATATATTTATCATCCTTATGAGCTACCTCTTCACTCATAACATTGCTTTCAATGTTGTTTTTTCCAACGTTGCGCGTCGCGTAATCCAGGCACATCAGTTGTTGAACATCTTATGCACAACGATTGCACAAGCCTCAAATAATTTTTCAAACAGGAGAAACCGTCCAAATATGGGTATGATTTTCATTCTCCGTTACACAGATCACTCATTGTCAAAATATCACTACAAGATTAGTCAACCAATCAAATTGCGAAATTTACAAAAAGATGAAACCATGGGATTCAAAGGGATTCAAAAAATATGGTGTAAAGCAAAGTGAGAGCTTCATGTTTGTTTAACAATTTTCAATATTTATAGAAAAGATAAGTCAAGCGAGCCTTCTAAAAAAGTATTGTAAAATAATGTAAAAAAAATTTTCATCAATTGTGTACCGATTTTGTGACGTATCAAAGGTTTCCCCTGTTAATTTTTCATAGGAAAATCGTGACGCTAATCACAAGTTTGACAATTCACCTGTTGCTAAAATTTTTATAAAATTTCATTTAGGAAACAAATAAATGAGTGTCGCGAAGGTAAAAGCCTAAATTTTTTATCTAATAAGAATTTGGGTTTTTATTTTGCAACATTCATATAAAAAACATTATCACGAAGATGTCTTAACCAAGTATTAATAATTTTACAGGAGATTCACTAACCAAAAATAAAAAATTTATTTTACCCAGTTTATTAAATAAAGAAAAAAAAATCTTAATATTTCAGAGTAAATAGAAACATTATTTTTTTTTATATACTGTATGTATGATACGTAATTAGGAAATTTTTTAAACTGATAACTATCAATTGCTATTTAAGGCTACTAATCGATTAGTAACACCCCCGTCGATAGTAATTGTATAAATAAAAATCGATAGTTATTATACTTATCGATAGAAATCGATATAATAAAAATCGATAGTTATCATGTCCATCGATAGAAATCAATATATAAAAATCGATAGTTATCATGTCCATCGATAGAAATCGATATATAAAAATTGATAGTTATCA